CTATAATTCAAGTGAAACATTCCTACACTCCCATTTCTCAAAGGGCTTGTTGCTGCAGAAGCAGGGACCCTGCTGAGTTGGAGGGGGCCTAGAGCCACATGGGGCTGGTTCTGCTGCCAGAGCCTCTTCTCTGAAAGGAACTGACTGTGTTGGAAGCACAATGGAGCTGCTAATCCATTCTGTACGCTTGGACGTCTCAAGGAGAAAGCAAAGAAGAGAACAATACAAGGCCAGTGCAGGAAAAAATCCTTTTACTTTGTTAACCAGCCATGAGCATGTTGAACTCAGTCCGGGCGATGGCAGGCCCAGCCAGAGCAATGTGAATCGACTGACACGACTCTTCAGACCTGCCTTTCGGTTCCTGTTGTCCGGACACATCCCGCACTTCTGGTTTCTGAGAGTATCTGCTGTTTCACTGAGCAGTGATTTGGCACCTTCTCTGCAGCCGAGAGCTCTTGTCTTCCAGTCACTCTCACCAAACCATTAAGGTGGTAGCTATTACGAACAGCTAAAATTTCAGACATCTCAACCTTGGAGAATTTCAGCGATTTTCAATTTTGAATCTTGCCAGGGGGAAGCAAGTTCAGAGAGCTCACATCTTGGGTAACACTGGCTCCCCTTCATTAACCTACATTTCTCTTACCCTTTATTCCTAATCCTTTATCAAGAACATATAAATAAACTCACAAGAAGATACAGCTGCAAAATCTCATCTGACAGCACTTTATAATAAATGGACATGAATTAATACTAGATTACAATGAAATTTCTATGTAATTACATATTACATTCACGCCATATCAGTACTGAAAAGAGGCCCTGATGCCCACTGCTATTGCAATAAATTCCCAAGGAATTACCATGGCGTCAATCCATATTGTAGACAATCAAACGTCTCAACTGCTTAGGAGGCAAAGGAAGGAGGATCTAGAAACTGTAGGTCAGGGGCCAGAAAAAATGATTGTTACAGAAAAAGTAAAATCTTAAAAATGGGATCAAGCTCTATTGTCAAACATGAAACACTCTGCACCGGTCTCAGAACTCAGTGTGTGTTAATTAGCTCCATCAAGAACAAGTTGTGTGTGCAGTGCTCAGTGTTGGGGTCTATGCATGAGTAAGAATGTGAATTGGAAAAGAAAATCTTGCCTCTCCGCTCTCAGCTGGTTGGAAATTTGCCAACACAGTTTTTGGGTGGAAAAGGCAGAATTTTCAAACTCGGATTTCCCCCCTGAAATGTGTCGTTCTCCATGGGATGGTTTCTCAGGAATTTCTGGGGAGTGAGAGACAGAGAAAGCCAGGCAACAGCGACAGTCTCTTTCTGGTTCAATTAACACGCAGTTGTTTGTACAAAGTGAGAGACTTTACCCATGCCACATGACAGGTGCTATAGGGCCACTGAGCCCCTGTCTATACGACAAAGTTTTGCTGGCAAAAGTTATGCCACTAATTAAAGTGCTTGCTGTAAACACGCCGCTGCATGGCCACTCTGTGGTCTGTGTTGGCAGAGCACACCCACACCGGCAGCTCTTCCAGCAACACTGAGTGCTTTGGGGAGGGCTTGCAGTGCCTCATGGGGCAGCTACAGCGTCACATGGTGCAGGTTTCTCAGTCCCACCATTCCTGGGAATCCTGCTAGCTTGTCAGCAGCTTTCCGACTGAAGTGTGGTGGGGGGAGAGGCGAGTGGTGTGTCTGGGTGGGGAGACAGCAGCCTGTCTGACCTATCCTGAGGCAGGAGGAGGAGCGACTCCTCCCATCAGCACCACGCAGAACCGCTGTCTCTCCTTGCCTCCCATGAGGCACAGCTCACCTCCCTCTGGTTCTGTGATTCCTGCCGTGTATCCCCACAGCCTCCTCAGACGCAGGGAGCAGGAGGGGCCTGCTGGCAGCTTGGGGAGCCCTGTGCGCTGAGGCATGTTGAAGCAGTGCAGCAGTCATCCCACCTCTGCCCCTGCAGCTTGCCTGCCCCAGCCTGCTGGCAGCTTGGGGAGCCCTGCGCGCTGAGGCGTGTCGAAGCAGTGCAGCAGTCATCCAACCTCTGCCCCTGCAGCTTGCCTGCCCCTGTGCCCCCAGCGTGGGCAGGAAAGGAGCATCCCCCCTCCGCTGCCAGATGCTTCCTGGAGCTTCGACAGGGGAGGGGCGCATGCCGGCAGGGCAGCAGAAAGGGAAGCCGTGAGCAGAGCAGTCGAGGCAGCATTGTGGGACACTGGTGGAAGCCAGGTCTGTGGACGACACGGAGGCTTTGTCACGTTGACTTTACCGCACAAAACGTCACACCTCTCGTTGAGGCGGTTTTCTTGGGTTAGCGAAGTAGCGGCGTTACTGCCAAAAATAGCTTGGCGATGCTTGGTCGGCAGAGGACAGCTTTTGCTGACAACGTTCTGTAGTGTAGACAAGGCCAGACGCTTCCTACGTTCATGGAAGGGGTTCGTCCATGGCTGCAAGCAGGCCACCTCTCTGGGGCGATGAAAGAAATCTTTCCACAACTGAGCAGCACCTAGCCCAGGGTTACGTCAGCGCTGCTCTGGGGTGTGACGTTCTCAAGCCCAGGAACATCTCAGCCATGTTCCCCTAACTCTGACCTGTTGGGGAGGGCATTTCCCTAGGGTGTGGAGACACAGGGCCAAGCCCTGCTTTAATTAGAGCAGGCCCTGGAGCCTGTGTCTGCTACCTGCCAGCTGAGTGCCCTAAGCACCAGGCTACTCCTGGCTCTGGAGGGGTTGCTCTCCGGCGTGTACAAGTCAGTTGTCTTGTGTTCTAAAACGTCGCCTGATTGTGGAATGGAATTCTTATTCTCTAGCTGCCCTAACTTTCCAAGGAGAAACGCAATCCCATCAATGCACGGAAAGGAAGCAACATCTATTGTTCGATGCCACTGATGATAAAGATGCTTTCTTTTTCAATTTCTGTTAAAACATTCCCTATGAGCTCCTGGCAGGGAGGAATCTGTTCATTCCAGGGCGTCCGCCCTCAGCCTCAGTAACGCCCCGGCGGTGGCCTTTGGAGGCCCCAGTGGTTTTGCAAAAGGTCACTCAGCCAGCATGACGTTGCTGCCCACGGGCTTGTCACTGAAATGGTTCTCCGACAAGTGGACTGGAAGTTCAGTCAATACAACATTATGGACACCACGATCATACTCACTTTTACCATTCGCTTCCATGGTGTGTGGAGAGAAGAAGAGACAGAGTCCAACCGATGTTCTGAGGTGGTCTCACGCTATTAAGGGGAATTTAATTCCTGCCTACTGTGTGAATACTAGACCTTTGTTGCCATTCCTGTGATTATATCCACAATCTGGTTATGCTAGTCAGGTCAGCAAATGCTTCTCATCTCAGGAACATTCCATCTGTGATTAGTTTTGCCAGTGTTTCATGAAACGGTTTCTTCCTCATTCAGTGAAGAAAACTGTTCTGGCTCCGCTGCGCTCTCCTGCTGTTAACCATGCCTATGGCTATGTCTACACTGCAGCTTCCTGTGTGGGTAGCCAGAAACACGCTCGCTCTCCTCAACCTACCGTGCTAAACATAGCAGTGTGCCTGAGGCAGTATGGCTGAGAGCTTAGGCTAGCCGTCTGAGGGTGTCTACGCTAGGAAATTATTTCCAAAGAACTTAGTTATTGCGGGAGTTAGTATTTTGAAGTATTTCAAAATAGCATGTCCCCGCTACAGGGAAGCTTTGAAAAGAGTCCGAGACAGGGTCCCTTCATGTGGATGTGCTACCTCGACTGGAGTGCTCCATTTGCATTTCCTCTTGTGGAAGAGGATCGTAGTGTAGATGTAGCCTTAGAGCCCCAGGAAGCACTGGGGAGTGATTACTTTGAATGACTCTGGGAAGTCGTTATTTCGAAAAGGCAGCAATGGAGCATCTGCAGGAGCGGCCCTAGATGAGTTGCCAGCAACTGGCGTCCTAGGCGAAATGCGCGATTGGCGCGCAATCGGCGCCCCTGCCTCCAAAGCCCTCAACGGTCGTTTATCTTGGTGCCCTAGGCAACCGCCTACTTCGCCTGTATTGACAGGCCGCCACTGAGCGTCCGCACTTCAGCTATTTCAAAATCACTCTTTCGAAACCAGCCTTATTTCCCATGGAAAGCAGGCGTACAGATTTCGAAGTAACAGGCGTGGTCGTGTGGACGCTCTGCTTGTTATTTGAAATAAGGGGAGTTATTTCAAAGTAACTCTCTAGTGAAAACCTGGGCTGAGTATGTACCAGCTGGGTCTGAGTGGATGCATGCTACAGTGTCTACACCAAGTCACTCCCCTTGCTAGCACAGCTCCACTGCTAGTTTTAGCACACTAACGTGGGCAGAGCTAACAAGTGTCTGTCTAGCCACACTGGGAAGCACGCGCCCAGCTGCAATGAAAACAGCCCAAATGAGCTTCTGATCTCAGGGCAGCTTTTGTTTTTGTTTCAGGCTCTGCGCACGAGCGGGCAGTTGGAGGGGATTCCAGATGAGAAAGTGAAGTGATGCAAGGGGCACTTGTATGTGTCACACTCTGGGGAGCAACTCCAGCTAGCTCTAGAAACGTTTTCTAGCCCAGAAATCCAGGAATTCTCACAGCCGGGAGACCAGAGATGGCTTCACTGTAACCTAGCAGACTATGAGGTGGCTTTCAGCATTCTGAAATCTGTTTCAGACAAGGCAAATTTAGCATTTCATCAAAACCTAAGAACGCCAATTATTTCCAGATCAGTTTCTCTGTATTTGTGAGAACAATAACATTGAAAGTTTCTAAGGTTTTGGTTCTTCTACAAAAGCTGCTCAGCTCACACGCTGGCGCTCAGTCATCAGCCTGATTTACACCAATGTGGATGTATGTCTCCCTTCTGCACGTCCTGGGCTTCTCACTCTGGCACAGGAAGAGATGGAAGTCGGAAGAGTTGAAATTCATTTAATCAGCACTAATCAGGAGTCTACGTGGCTCCAGCACTAAATTCGTTCAATGGTCACGTTTAAATTCTGCAAATTTGCAAACTCTGTTTTCCCTA